TTTTCCTCGAATAAAATTCATATTCGTAAATAACGAATAATTCTTTCTCGAATAAAATCGTTATTCTTAAATAACGAATAATTTTTTCTCGAATAAAATTCATATTCGTAAATAACGAATAATTTTTTCTCGAATAAAATCGTTATTCATTATTTACGACTAAATTTGACAGTATTTTATTTATTCGTCATTCGTTATTCTTTCGAATAAAATATGCCCAACTCTGTTCGGTGTTGCTACACTTATAGAAAAATACAACAAGAAAGTCCTCGATACGACTGTGAATTCCAGTTTTTGCCAAGTCTGCAATATGTGGAAAAGCAAGAAAGATGAAACGATGGAAGAATATAACGACTGGTACGAAAACCACAAAGACAAGTGCACAATAAATCATGTCGGCAGTACTGGTAAGATGGAAATTGATGCAATCACAGAAATGTTTATGAAATTAGAGAAGATACTTGGCGTGAAATACACTACCTACATCGGAGATGGAGACAGCAAAATGTACAAAGGCATCTTAGATGTTAGTTCGTACGGAGACACTGTTGTGCAAAAGAAAGAATGCGTCGGTCATGTGGAGAAGCGAATGGGCAGAAGGTTAAGAAATGCGGAAGGAACGAATGACGGCGTTGGGGGTAAAGGCCCCCCCCCCCCCCCAAATTGACGGAATCGGCAAGCTTACAAGATATTATGGTTTATCGATTCGCCAACATCCCGATTTAATCGAGAAAATGAAGGAGGCTGTGTGAGCGACATCATATTATCACCGAAGTTCCACGGATGAAATTCCACAGCACTTGTACTGTCCTCCAGTACCAACAAGCTGGTGTAAGTGGCGGAAAGCAGAAGTAAATAATGCACTTGACACTTTTAGACACGACGTACCTCTTTGTAATCATGTTTTAAAAGTCATAAAACCAATTTATGAGGAATTATCTGCAAAATGCTCGCTAGAGAGATGTTTGGGAGCGGAAACTCAGAATAATAATGAATCACTCAATTCGTTAGTCTGGACGTTTGCTCCCAAACATATTCATTGCGGACGATCAAGCATTGAAATATGGACATTCCTGGCTGTAAATATATTTAATGAGGGTTTTTCGAACATACTAACGTTACTTTCCGAAATGTTCATAACTATTGGACAACAAGCTGAAATCTACGCAAATGCTTGAGACAGCATAGAATCGAGACAAGCATAGAATCGATCGATCGGAACGTCGCCCGACAGAAGCTGCAAAGAGAGATCGAATAAGAGAGCAGAAGAATCAGAGAAGCAGGACATGTTCGAGCAAGAAGAAAGTCCCCTCTGGGTCCTGGACTGGCAGATTAGCCATAAGTATGATTTTTATTATATGAATAATCATTATCGATATACTAAACTTTAAAGGCATTTTTTTTTGGAAACTATGTTTTTCAGAACGGTGTCCATGATATCTCAAAATCTACTAGCCCAATTGACTCAAAATTTTAAGTACGTATTTAGTACATGTGTGACTATAGCCCCTACCAGAATCAACCAAAAAATTTTATTTTTTATATTTTTTTAGGCTTCGGAAGTTTAACAAAAACATGCAAAATTCGACAATGGAACTTCAAATTATCACCACTTTTTTAATTACTGAGTTTTTTCTTTTGTTTTAGTACCTGCTATAGCCAAACGCATACTATTTAAGGAACATTCACGTTTTTCTATTTCCGACAAGCAGAATGGCCGGAATCATGGACACCGTGAGACGACCTTTTTTAAAAGCGACTATGTTTGAGAGTATGCAGTGCCACTAATTTTAACTTCTTTTGTCACAAAAAATTTTAAAACGTCGTTGAAATACGTGCGAATAAACCTTGTTAATTTGACTGCAAAAAGTATAACAGTTTCTTTGCAAGAAATTCCCTAACAAAATTAAAGAAACACGCACTTCACACCAGAATACCCCCTTAATTTCAACGAATTTCTTTGAGTTGGTCGCTATACGTTGAGCTTACAGGTGCTTTGGCGCTAGGCAGTCGCAGCTTACTCAGGCCACTCGTTTGCAGAGAGGACAGTTGAAGCCCGTTCTTCTTCTTTTCTACCTTCCTTTCTTTTCTTCCCAACCTTCAGTCAGTTGTGAGATCACCTCCTTTCTGGTTGTGCAGATGGCTGCTATGGTTGTGCTGCGAAATTCACATCTGCTCTCTTCCTCTGTTTTTTCCTGCCAGCTGTTTTGTAAGTTTGCTGCGGCTGTATTTGCAGCCGATGTGACCCCAGTCGTTTCAAGGCGAAGAGCTGCGAGTGACTCCTTGAATGATGCAAGTCTCACTTCTACAATTTCCTCGATTCCGCATTGTTGATATCACGCTCTTAAGCATGAAGAACTCACTATTAGATACAACGTATACTCTATACTATCATGTAGAATCTAGTACAAATCTACCAACTATCTGTATTATATAAGTCCTTTATTATAATATTCATACAAATTGCACACACACTCGTTACACTTATATATTCTAAATAAACTGTTATATATCCTTTAATCACTTTAGACTCTTTACACTCTTTATACGTGGCTGTTTTCTCTACCCACGTAACTCAAACTGATACATCTCTTTCTTTAATTCCTTTGTTTGCCGCTGCCTAATATATATTAGGGGTACCGGAGAGTAATCCATTATTTTTGCTCTTAACAAAATGCTTTATTTCATAAATTTTTAAATATTAATTCAAAATATAATTTCCATCTTCTCTTAGGACTGTTTCCCATCTAGTAACTCATTTTTCAAATCCACTTTTAAAAAAATTTACGGGTTTTGAATTAAAATATTCTTTGATGTGGTTTTGCTTCGGTTATATTTTGAAATTTTTTGTCACGAATGCTATGTTCCAGAGATCCAAAAAGGTGGTAATCGGTAGATGCTAAGTCAGAAGAATAAGAGGGATGACTAAAAACTTCCCAGTTTAACTTAGGAATTTTTTCACCGGTGATGATCAATACTGGGGTTTTGCGTTATCGTGGTGAAGGATTATGTCTTCGATTGACTAGTCGTTTTTCTTTAAGTTGCTCCTTCAATTTTTCCAATTGTTGGCAATAAACATTAGCTGTGATAGTTTCACCTGGTTTTAATAGCTTATAATGAATAACACCAGACATCTCCCACCACAGTAAAACTTTTTTTAATGTCAGTCCTGGCTTGACAGTTGGAATTGGAGTTTGATTAGGAGAAAAATTTTGCCGTTTTTGCTTTCTGTTATCATTGATGATTCATTTCTCGTTCCCCGTTACAACACGTAAAAACGGGACATTTCTGTACCTTGTCAGCAAGGAATTGCAAATCGTTATTCTCTGCTCCCTATTATCGGCTGACAATTCATGCAGTGTCTAAATTCCCATTCTGTTTGTTTTGTCAATAAGTTTTAAATATTCTTGCATTGTTGACTAAGGAGAATAGAGCTTTTCTGATATTTCGTCGATCGTTAATCTTGGATCCCTTTCGACCAGTGACTCCAAAATGTCGTCAATTCGAAAGTCTTTTGAGGCAACCTGCAGATTCCTGTCGCTAGATTTAAATTTTCTAGACCACCATTCATACCCTGATCGGAAAAAAGCAGCATACAATGCCTGATATGCTCGTTGTCAACAACGGGCTTTGACATTTTGAAGCTTAACGGAAAATTCCAGTCCTGAAAAATAAAATTAATGAACCCCTAATTAGAACAAATACCAAAAAGTGGTCCTTACACTACAATGTACCAGCGTAGACTGTCCCAAAGTTTAAGCTTAAAAGTAATGGATTACTTTCCGGTCCCCCTAATATATTCATAATACTAATAGTTAATTTAATCACACTTAAGATGGTGACATCCATCTGTGTTTTACCATAATACAAATGCACTATATACTAACCCATCTTATAGTTTCCGTCTGTAGAGGGAAGAGTACTCCTCTTTGTGAACTATCCGTATTCTTCCGAGACGTAGCTCGTGTAGAGACTGTATGGCCCACCGCTTCAGATACGGTCGAGCATGGACATACTAAGTTATTCGCCTCTTGCGGAATCCTTCGTGTCCCTTCAGAGTGGCCTTGCTTGGTGCCTGGGTAGCCACCACTCTCCAACTTGGCCAGCCTCTCTTCCATCTCATGGAGCCACACCCTTAGGCGCAGATTCTTCTGTTCGAGAACCGCAGCGTCGCCAGTGGAGTTCATTTGGCAAGCTCCGTTGCCGCAGCCCCTGAGCCCTCTCTGATATTTTTTAAACGTAATCGACGAGGCAGCAATCTTTTCGTTAGCCTTGGCTCTGTTAATAATTAAAGAAATTATATCTGCCACTGTCATCAATTTTATGCCACTTGCGAGGGAAGGGTCTTGAACCCTTTTGACGGGGGAGGGGCATTCAGAAGATACTCTTCTTCATTCTTTAATCCAGAGAGAACGTCTGTGTGAGTCGGAGCCAGCAGTTTCCTTTTCGAATCCAGACCTCCTGCATCTTCGAAGGAAATCGGCCGACTTCTCTTCCCTCCTTTTTGTCCTTCCGGTCTGGTACAGGAAACCAATCGGACAAATCCGACTCATCTTCGCTGGCAGATAATGCCAGGCTATGCTCCGATTTTCCTTTAGTGGACCCAGATGTCTTGTCAGAAGAGCAGGCCTGGTTTGCCGCCTGCTCTCTATCGCGGTCGTCCGGTGACGATCTGGAGGAAACCCGCTCAGTTATCTCCTCCACCCCGGGGCTGGGGGCTCCGAAACCCCCTGCGCCGGTTATTTTATTTCCGTTATTTTCCATTTCCATATTAATGTTTGAGTTATCAATGGATTTCGTCCTAGTCGTAACCTGCACATGGGGCCCGCCCCATGAGCAATTTTCTTGCAGCCGTCCGATGTGACGTAGCGGGGATCTGCTCGGTCTTCCCCGCTGCGCTGAATCAGGGAGTCCCGGAATTCCCTGCGCTGGTACTTTTATTTTTGTTATTTTTCCCTTTCATTTTTTTTTTTTTTTTTTTTTTTATTTGTTTCAGAAAGAAACCGCCCTCTTTCCTGTTGACCACTCACTCTTTCGCGCACTGTGGGCGAAACTAGAGTTCCTCAACACAGTGTCTCATGAAGCACCGCGGGGAAGTGAGGTGAGTGGACCATTTGACACATACAAGTCCTCAATTTCGCCGAAGAAACATCGCCTACAAGTAGGCTTTACGTGAGTCATCAGCTGCGTCAAGATTTTTGATTTGAAGACGGAAAAACCTGCACAGGTCTTATCTTCCCGTCCTTCCTGCTACTTAAATCCAACCTAAACCTGATTTATTTCTTTTTTTTTTCTTATGTGGAGGAAATCGCTGCTTGGAAAGAGATCGTTCTGTAGCCTCTGACGACTCCTGTTGCCAACTTAGGCTGCGCTCGGCGGATAATTGCTCTCCCGCCCTTTCTACCTCCAAGGTTATTGTACCATATCGGGGCTCTATATAGAGCCATGAACCTAACCACACCCATGTAGAGAGCACGGGTTTTATCTCCCGGTCCGTTGACGTTCGGCAACAGACGTCCTAAAAAATTGGCCACCCGTTCGATCTTCGGCGCTACGCGGGCGAAATGCTTCCCAAAGTTCAACTTATCTAAAGTAATTCCGAGATATTTCATCTCGTCCTGGATCTTCCCACACCGTCAGCGACAACTGTGGTGGTTTCCTTTTGCGAGTTTGTTTGAAGAACCAAACCACCGCGGTCTTCCCGTCAGCCACTTCCAGTCTTAACTCCTGCATCCTGGCCTGTACCCACCTGAAAGTGCTCTCCCAACTCGTCTCACCTACGACTAACAGCGTGTCGTCAGCATAGCAGATGAGCTGAGCGCTCCTTGATAGTGCGATCTCCAACACGTAGTTATACCCGATGTTCCACAGGAGCGGTTCGAGGACCAAGCCCTCCGCAAAACACCGCGTTTTACCTCACGACGCTCGATGTTTTCCGACTTCCCACCGGGAACTCGATGCTTCGTTCGTTCAGGTAGTTTCCCACGACCTTCCTCATTTAGCCGGGAACCTTGTGACGTGCTAGCGCCTCCTTAATCTTCATCCCAGTGAGTTGAAAGCGTTGACGATATCGCCAAGATAACTCCGCCTCTTTGGACTTTCCTCTTCACCATGTTAACCACGTGATCGATGGCGCCGATTCCGAATCTTCCTACCTTGAAGCCATATTGGCGATCCACTAAGTCCGGACCAACCAGCGAGAGATGTCGCGAAGTCCGTGTGGCTGCGATCCGTTTGAAGAGTGTTGGGTTTTATTTCTTCAAATTCCGAGTAAAAGAATAAGCGATTTAATGTGCTTAAATATTATACTTGATAAATTGCTCTTAGGGATCTTCGTTACGGCGGCTGGACGAACACAGGTTACTTGCCAGACAAAAACACGGTAGAACGTTAGACCACGCACAAACAATATACATACACAGGCACGCATACCCAACTACACGCGAGATGTCGCGATTAGCAAAATTAACAAGTTGATAATGACGGTCCTACAAATATCTTGGTATAAAAGAAGCATATAATTATAATATTAATATTTTCGTACATTTGAGTAATTATATTTTTGTTTATTTCAGGTTCTATTGAATACATAAGATAATTCTAACATTTGATGCAGTTGCTTTTTTAAGCTATAATATGTCACATGTTGACTATGATATTGCTTGTATTTAAATTTAAAATACAATAAATAAAATTTTACGAACAAAATTATTAATTTAATTTGAGGCAACCTGCTCACTTTTCCTTACATGTTTCTTTTTCATACACAATATATACAAGATTATATATAGTTTATAATACGTACGTTAGTTATATAAGTTGAAGTTTAATGATTAGGACAATATTCACCTAAGTGCGTGGTATATAGTGATACATGACAGTACGTATGCTCATTAGAGAAACTTATTAATAAGTCTGAAATAATAGAACTATTTCATTCATTTTTGTAACAAGCATAGTTCAACATATTGATATCAACTGGATTTGGAGAACATCCAAAATTTATAACATTTTTTTGTGACATACTCCGTGCACATTTATGTACGAATTACTTTCCCTATTATTGTCCGTAAATTAAAAATAATTCTGATATCAAAATACGTATATTTTTTTTAAATTAATATTCTACAAAAATGTAAGTGATACATTCATTAGATTTTGAATTTAAGTATATCTATCGTTGAAATCAATGCATAACAGCTAATAAACGCTGTTATAGATGAAAGGACTATTATCCCAAATACTTGAGTTACCTGATGTATCCAGTAAAATATAAAATAAATGGAAATATCATTAACAGTACGTTAAAAATATTATCATAATTATATCTTCTTTCGTACCAAGATATTTTGATACGTACAATGATAATCGTCATTGTTCGATAAACAGAATACTTACATTGGTTTCTTACCTTGAAGTTTTTAAAAGATACCTATAACAAAAGCAAGCAAAACGTGTAGAAATATATTAAGAATATTGTAAACATACCTGTTAAAACGCAACACCGTCCATAGTATATTGTTCCTAGATATTTTTATGCTGCATTCCACGTAGATGTTTTTCAGCATACATTACCTTAAAAAATGAAACATTGGATTTGTGAAATTAAATGAATTATATTTAAAAAACAGAGAATATTCTTATTATAATACCTCACAAATGTAATTTTAATTACAATTAATAATGCTTTTACGAGTTTTTGATTTATTCTCTTGATATTTTTATTCGCAATTCTCTTAATACTTTTATTCATAATTAAATAAAAAATCTCGATCTCTTAGAAATAAAATAGAACTAAAATTTTATATTGTGAAATCATTTATACTTGCAACGCATTGAAGAGCATTTATCGTTGTTGGTTATCTACTAACATCTTGATGCTTCATGACTTTCCATGTTGATAGTTTCTGACTTATTTCCTTGATACTTCTAATTACAGTGTTAGATCTGTCTTATCGACCTGATGTAGTCGCGACATCTCGTGTTGGCTAACTGTTCTATTTGTTATGTATGCGATTCGCATGGGTGAATATTTATATAAGCAGCACTAGCGGATTGTCCCTATTACATATATAAGAGTCCGAAGAGTAAAGTTGTATCAAAGCGAATTATTAGTGAATATTTTCCTCATTATAAATTATAAAGCCACAATGCAGCACTCTATCCAACACAATTTTTTCATGATCTCTTAGGACTTAATACAAGCATTAAATTTTTTATTTGTTAAATCATTTTAACGTGCAATTTAAAGTTTTCATTATTTAACGTTTATCTTTATAGATTGTTATCTACTAATGGTTTAACGATTAATGTTTCAATATTTTAATGTCAAAATTAACATACTACAGTTACTTCGAACATCATTTTCATCATGACTGACGGCATTGAAAATCTCATCATCTTAAAAGTGTGAATTTCAATATCGTTCGTGACATTGTTACGAATGAAATTAATTTGGATTAAGTTAAATGTAATTACATTTAATCACTATATAAACCGCAAAATGTAAACGCAGAAATTAATCTTATATATATTGAAATGTGCATTGTTGTACATTAAATGCACAAATGCCTGTTCATACAGATAATATACGTGTAGCATTATTTAGTGTAGTGTTTATATGAATTAATAGAATAATTTAGAATTTGTAATTGTGGCAATTCCATTTTTGTAATAAAAATTTTCACTTGGGTAAGTAAATCGACGGTTATGACAATAAATTTATTTGGAAAATACAAGTTAACGAGATTAGTGTGTTATTTTCTTCTTTTATTCCTGAAATGGAATAATATGAATTACATAATTTGAAAAAACACAATGAATGACTCGATAACCTGGCAATACTTCACTTACTCTACATAATAATTTCGACTGCGTTGACAATTTTTAATATATGGCCTTCGATTTCTGTTTCTCTTGACAATATGAACGTGACGTTGACATGATAAATGACAGACTATAAAATGATTTATAAAATGATTTTCATATCTTAGTATCAATATATAAATCTTAATTAGTAGTATTAAAATAGTATTGTAGAAATGTACTTTTTTTACTGTTTAAATTTTTATTTAGGAAATAAATTAATAATGGCATATGTTGAAAAAACGAAAACATTTATCACAGGCACCAATGACGTAACATACAACAAAAGGAACGAATGCGAGAAAAGTTGAAGGTTCAGGTAGATATATTCAGTGCATATTAAATAGTAATTTTTTAAATTTACAACATGCGAAAAATTAATGGAAATTATTCTTCGGTAATATGTAATTCTTCTAAAAAGTAGTAAATGTATTCATTGCAAAACAGGAAATAGAAAATTTATTTTAATTTATATTAATATATTGCAAATTAGTATGTACAGTGAATGCATTTACTCTTTTCGAATCTATTTAATCTGTTTGCAAGGAACATGATTACACAGTATGTAAAACTTGTTTTAAGATTTGGAAGTATTAATGCACAACACGTGTTGCCTTCTTTCCTCTCGAGCCTTAAACTTTTAGCATATGATATACCATTCTATTCGCTTTAATATGGTGAATATGAATACAAATATTAGTTTCTGGTAGAAGTTGTAAAACCTTAACAAAAGTGCGAAAAAGAAACTACTAAAGCTGAAAATTGGATACGGTGTTTAAATAAATTTCTGCTAATATTTTACAATTTATGAGTTATTAGTATTATACGCGTCTCATTTGACTTTTTGTTTTAGAAAAGTTCTTTGTTTCTCTTATTTTTGGAGTGTGTGTCACACTTTCAATGGTGAAACGACATGTAAATTCATTATGTTTTATAATTTTACGAATTCACTACACCAAACGCGTACTGTACGCATTGCATATATCGATACGTCTTTCTTATTACAACATATGCTTAAGTAACTTGAATTTCCTATGCGAGTCACGTGAAAGTAAATCTTCGTCATCTATAATTTCTTACAATTTCTAGCATGAAATATTCATCAATATGTTTTTCCTCATCAACATTGTATTACTTCCTTCCTTCTTTGAGGGATATTGCTGCACTAGTATAAATTTAAACGACACAGCGAAAAGAGACATCATTAGCATCTCCTAATTTGTAATGCATGATATTAGGATACCTTAATCTAAGAAATTTATTTATCCTCTTGCTAGGATACTGCTTCGCATCACATTCGTGGCACAAAATTGATCTCGCGAGATCAGGCTAAAGTATTCTGTCAATCAAAAGTTAATCCTACAACAAATTTCGTTTACAACTCTGAATTTCTGCATTGCTAACGCGTTAAAATCTATCCGATAGGTAACTGACTTTCCTTCCATTTATCCACGATACAAATATTTTCTATAAAATATCAGTAAGTAGTGAACAATAAAATCAGATATTTTCGGAACCAAAATATAATAGCATTTTAAAACATATTTACCAACAGAGAACAATTCTACACTCTGCTTTGCACGTCTGGCGAGAATTATTTTAAAGTAATGGATTTTTTTATAATGCAAAATTAATATAATGCAAGAATCCATTTTATCCGTAATTTGTGTTTGAATATATAGACATTCATAAGCAAATATTCACAAGAAAATTTGTTAACATTTAATTGGTAATACTTATGAGAAATGCGGTTTTTCTAATATATGTTTAAATATATTTGTTTTCTAATATATTTCATGAATATGAAATATAGACAAATTGTAACAATCTTCTAAATCATTTTTTCGTAAAGTGGATTCATTTAAAACAATTTGTTTGGTATATTCATTCTATAAATCTCTCCATAATTTATTGTTAAGTCTGCGTCGAGACATAGTGATAGCTTGTAACATATCAATTTCAAATATCTTACCTTGGCTCCTTCTGATTTTATTCTGCAAATTGGTGTATATCACTGCAACAAAAGTAATCTTCTTATGTTCTTCAACATCTGTGTTGTGCATTTCTGTACGTACATTACAGGAACATGCACAGTTGAAATATCCTCTCTCTACATTTTATCTCTTCATCGCATGCTTGACAACGTACAAAACATTTCTCCTTCTATAACAATGTAATTATTTTGAACAGATGCAATCCACTTCATCACCATTATACGTTTGTTGTTTTATGATTTAGACGTCTTTAATTTTCATTATAAATATTTTACTGTTTGTAGCATATCTACGTATGTTTAACGATTAAAAATATGATTCATGCAAAATCATAAAATACTACTGTTTATCAATAATATATTTTGTACTGTCACTGTTTTGCTTTTTATTACATGTCATAATCTTTGAATTAAATCGTATTTTCGATATTAACTTTTTGATAGAGCAGACTCATCTTGCTTATTCTCGCTACGTAATATTTCAGGTAATATGCATGCAAATTTATGCAAATTTAAAAGTAAACATGTTTGGTATATATGGACATATTTTGCAACTATTAATAAATTTCTGCGAAATATCGAATATAAAAATTCCAATATCTTTACCGTACTTCTATAAAAATATGTTTATAAATAATCGCAGTATATTTACTATTATTCTGTGGACTAGATAAAGTTATTATTTAGAATAATAACAGGAAGTAACAAATAATACAGTTGCGATAGCAATATATGAAACTATATAGGGATAATAATATTAATATTAATATTAGAAAGAATTTGGTAGAGTTTCGTAGCACTGTTTACGTATGTACATGATACAATGTATTTAGATGTATGTAAATACTTT